AAAAAACAGTGTAAATTATTGATACTTTTATTATTTTCTTTTCTTAGTTTCAAAATTTAGTTTAAATAAATTTTTGCATTAATTAATTTTAGTTAACGAAATTACTTTCTTTCTTGGTGTGTGTTAAATTCCAGCACATTGAAAATTACATTTTCAAAAATCTTTCGATGCTTGAGATTGAAAGCACAGATTAAAGTAAACATTTAATGCTGTCTTAATATAGACTTGCATAGCTATAGAAAGTAATTACTAAACATGAATTTTTTCAAAAAATAATGTAAATATTGTAAATTAAAATTCTACCCGTTGAAAGAAAAAGCATGGAATTAAAATCTACATTATATTTTATTGGTGGAAAATGTATATTTATGAAACTTTTTTTAAAGCATATTAAAAAGAAAATACCTAATTTGCCAAAAATAGAAAGAAAAAAAAAGGTCAATAAATTCAGATATTTTTTTCCTGATATAGTGTCATTCTTCCCTTTCAAACTCTTTCAAAGTCTATTTGAAACAGTAGGGTTATTAACTGGTATTTTTTCTCATAATATGTTTATAGTATCTTTGAAATTTGATTTTCTACAAAGAAATTTTGTGAAAAAAAATTCCTATGAGCACATAGATTTTTTTTAAAAAAATATTTTTAGCTTAACTTATCTATTTTGATATAGAATTAAAAGTGAATATTTTAATATAAAAATATATAGATTAAATATTTATTTTTTGATGAATGACTACATTTATAAACACAATCTGCTACATTTATTTTGTCATTTTAAAAATCAAGAGGAAAAAAAAGAAATCATAATTTTAAATTAAAATTATGGTTTGCTAATTGAAACTTTGTTTTAATAGTTAAAGTACAGGGGTCTGTCCAAGTGAAATTTACTATATTAGAAATAATTTTTAAAAGTAACCGAAAGATTAAATAAATTATAGATTGTATCTCAATATAATCTGAGGTTTCAAAACTCATCATTAGCTATAAAAAAAGTACTAACTCGCGGAACCCCTGTAGCTGGGGACTCTAGGATGCAGAAGCTAATTACAGTTGGGTGGTCAGCCGTCTGTGGCTGTAAAATGTACTCACTATCAGAACTCCTGTAAATCTTTACGGAATATTAGGGTTCCGTGGAACACTATTTGGGAACCTCTGTCTTAGACCTTGGACTCTAGGGTGCTGAAGCTGAGTGTTACAGTTAGGTGGTTAGTCGTCTGTGGCTGTAAGAAGTACTCACTAGCGGAATTCTTGCAATTCTTTATGGAACCCTAGGGTTCCGCGGAACACCGTTTGAAATCTACATTCCTAGGTAATACTAATAATTTTTTATAGTTTTAATGCCTTTTTATTTTTATTATATTTGTATAAAGACACAATTTTATTAAAAATAATATCGATAAATTAATACTAAGGATATTCTGGATATTAGAAAAAATTCACAAATGTAGGTAAATTCACAAATAGAGAAGTGTCAAAAGTAGAGAGAAGTGGATTCGAATTCAAAGGAAGGTACTGGCCGACCCTGGGCTGTCTAGCCAGATATGATGATGAGGTAAATTCACAAATAATAACGTAAAAAATTCAAAATGCATGACACAAAATAAATTAATAAATAATTTAAATTACTTTTTCAATTTGAAAAAAAAAAAAAAAAAAAACCTTTTTAACCCAACGTTTGAAATCTATTGTCCTAGACAGGGTTGGGCTTTTGACGTCAAAAAGTGGTTTTTGACATGACAAGGGTATAATACTGGTTTAAACCGTCAAAAACCTGTCAAAAATGTCAAAAACTGAAGTTTGCCAAGAAAATATATAAACTTCAAAACTACCAACAGTTGCCATGCATTATATTGAAATTTAATTATACTATAGGTAATCAGCAGGTTTTAAAATATTTTTTAATTAAAATTAAGGTAAAATAACAGATTTAAAATCTCAGAAATTTATATTCAAATGCATGTGCANAAAAGCATATCTTTTAACATTAAAAGCATTTTTTTTGATTAAAATCAGTGATTTTTTAAAAAAAATCATTTGATTTAAATCATGATTTTAATCATTTGATTAAAATCATTTACACCCTGGGTAATACTAATAATTTTTTTTAGTTTTAATGCCTTTTTATTGTTATTATATTTGTATAAAAATACAATTTTATTAAAAATATTTTTTTGTTATAAAATTGATCTTTATATTAAAAATACATCTTTATTTTAAAAATATTACTATCAATAATTAATAATAAAGATATTAGTAAAAACTTAAACGGTAAATTCACGAATAATAATGTAAAAAATTCAAAATGCATGACGCGAAATAAATTAATAAATAATTTAAATTACATTTCCAATTTGATAAAAAAACCTTTTTAATAATCAAAATAAGCTTAATTAAAAAGAAATAGATTCAAAATCCGATCAACCAATTCTTTTAAATCGATCCATATTAGCCCGGGGCACCCATTTCTCCAAGGCTGGTGGGGACGTTCCGTACCTCCACTACCCAATTAAATTTTCGCTTTAAGAAGACAACAAAAATGCATTGATAAAAACATATACCTACACATTTCTTTTTATTAAAATAAATTTTTTTCACTAATTTACGAAGCTATGAAACTTTAATATTTCATCATTTGTCAATTTGAACTCAATTTTCAAATGAGAAACTACAGTACGGAAAAACAATTATATGGAGTGATATGACATATAACTGATCTCCTCCATAAAGAGATTTTAAAAATTGCCTCATCCCACCCCTTAAAAATTTTTTTAAAAATATATATTTTCCGTGTAACATAATTACTGGTTATACACTTACATTTATAATTTAAAACATTAAGATGTGAATTGAATATTCAAAAAATTTTTTTTCCTTTCAAAAGTCCTCTTTTTCTAAATATGACTTAGGTTACTTGCCCCTCTTCTCAACCCCCATCACTCTGTAAGTACCCATTAATGTTAGAGGATAAGATAAATACTGAAAAGAATCGACTCGTGTCACAAAACAGTTCTCTTAATGTTAAAAGATATAAAATCGCTCAAATGAGCCGAACAACCAGCTCAAAGAATCATTTAAATACTGTAATGTTAAAGTATAAAAAATCGACACATAAATCAACTCTTTAAGCCAATATTAATGTTAAGAGATAGGATACAGTTCAAAAGAATAGATTCATTTGCCTTAAGATTCATTTGTTGCTAAGAGAGCAAACAGTTCATTGACTCAACTTATTTTCCCTATTTCAGTTTGTTTTCATCCAATTAGAGGTTCACATTCATATTTCAATTTATTATCCAATCAGCGCAACAATCTCATTTTCTGTAGCTTCCGCTTCTTGGTTTTGAATAAACGATAACATGGAACTCCGCTTTGCTTTATTTTAACGGAAGTTTAAAAATTGATAACAGATTCTAGTGGAGAAAAAATATGCTCTTTAATACTTAAGTACTAAAAAGTAATACCTGTGCTTTACAGATTTAATTTCTTTTTATTTAAAAGGAAGAACCAAAACTGTCGGAGAAAACTTTTCAGCTGTCGTAGCCATCTTTAAAATAACTGTATATCAATAGAATTAATTTTGTAAATGGAAAAAAAAAGGGTAATGCAATAGTAATTGTACTTTACATAATACAAAGTTATTGTTTCGTCTCGGCCTATAAATTCAATATTTTACTTTTAAAAAAATAATGTTTAAAGATAAAATTTTCATTGATTAAAACTCAATTAAATTGTAAATTATCCCCAAGATAAATGATTAGTTGAATAGTAATTTTTCGATAATAGTTTATCAACCAAACCTTTTACTTATTGACAACTAATGGTTAGCTAAATTTTATTTTATTTTATAACCGTCGCTGAACAGACGACCTAATTTCATGGGTTTACGACTACTGATGTTCAACTCCGTGGCCTTTTAATTTTGAACCAACCCAGAAGACAAGGAAACTCCTGGATCAGTACGCCCAGAGGTATTGATTTGTTATGGGAACATGGAGGACTTTGAGACTCGACAGATTTAACGTGCATCAGTCACCACTTACAACACGGAGAGTCTTCAGCCGGCGAGGGTCGAACCCACGACCGGACATGGCCCAAGCGCCCTACCGACCAGGCTATCCCAGCCTTGGTTAGCTTAATTGAAAAAATTGCTGTAATAATTATTTTTCAATCTGGGACTAAGTTACAAAACTGATTATAATTACGTGGCACTATGTTTTCGCTGGCAGGCTTAAGGGCCACCTACTCTGTGTGAATTATTTGGTTTACTAAAGTCCGCAAATCAAATGTCTTAAGATTTGTCTAGGGGAAAAACCGATCATTAATTTTATATTAGTATTGTTAGATAAAGTGTAGTTTGTTCACCAGGAGTTGACACTTTCTCCATCATCTCCTCGGACGCAGAAATACCCGCGCTTAAAATGGAACCCCCGCATAACATACCCGCGCTTTAAATTGAAACAACCGTTAATGCACGCCAAACACTAACAGTAAATTCTTATTAAGTCACTTACTTTGCTTTATCATCTGCTATTATACCTTTCGTTACTCTATCTAATTAAATATATTTTTAATTTAAAAACGGCTGTGTGCCCAGCAAAATGTTTTAAAAAGGACAAACTATTCACTCAAAAGAGAGAAATATCATTAGATTTATGAAATATTTAATATTAAAAAAATGTACATAAAGATTGCGAAATAAATATTTTTGTCATACAATCGACAAAAAAAACAAACTTCTTTCAGGATTGTTCACATCCTTCTCTCAAAAATAGCGAAATAGTATCCTCGCGTACCACGTGATGAAGGCGAAACCAAGTGCCAACTTCTGGTGAACGAACTATCAAGACAAAAATGCCGTATAGAGAGGCGAAATATGTACCGAGGGGCTTCACAGAAGGTAAAGCTTGACTAACCCTACCCCTGTAAACGGTACATGAAATATCAGTGTTCAAGAACATTGTCACTTTTTAAAGAAATATTACAAAAAAGTTCATATTTACCTCGTCCAAAATATAGTAACAATCTCTAAACTGCTGCAAATAAATCTCTTCGCATTTAGAATCATCTCTGTCAATAGCTAGTGAAGATCTTCGTGCCAATAAACATTTCTCTATAATAGATTTTGAGGCACTGTGCAGTAGTAACAACCTAGTTGAAATTAGTGAAACGGCATCAGACATTAAAACTTCGATTTCTCTATTATGATCATCAGAGTGATTACCTTCGTCAAATATTACGTTGTGCACTATTGAATACAGATAAGAGATTGAAGACGGATATACAACATTTGACATATCTTGTTGTGTATCATTAAATAAGCTATTTTCAACCATTTTTAAAGCTCCTTGGGTATCTAAAATCCTATTAGGATCTATCTCATTTGCATTTCTAAAAAAGCATTCAACATCACTTATAAAATATTTTAAGTATTCTTTTGAACTCTGGCTCTTGGGATTCAAGAAATTAACCGTATCAATACTAAAAAGAAGTGAAATAAGCTGCTGACGTGCTTCATTAGAACTATTATTAAGTGCTTTTAAGATCGTATCAATTAGAATATATTCAGGCTTATCTTTATGAATGATTTCTTTTAGCTCACAGATAATTGAACGAGCTTTTAACTCATCTTTGTTCAGGGTAATTTCTACGGGAGGGTGAAGAGAGATACAGTCAGATTCTTGAGTGACTTCTTTAGCGTTTATGAGAACACTGCAGAATTTTTGGGCTCTGTTGTTTTCCTTGATAACTTCTAAGGTCTTCTGAAAGTTCTCCTTAAGTCGCACATGAGAAAAACATACCTATATAGAATAAAATTATAATTAAGACCTGGTAATACTTGTCAATGAAAAGTTTAATGATATTTTTTGCCCTGAATTATCCGAGGAAGATTTATTGCATTAAAATAGATGTAAAATTTAAACCAAAGTTACACCTTTAGAAAAAGTTGAGATTTGTGTAACGTTATTTTAAGTCTATAAATGTTTATATTTCGTTATTATAGTAATTAAATTATGAATTACGAGCATGAATTATTTCTTTATGCACCATTATATTTCAAAGTTCAATTATATTAACTCCATTTATAAAACGCCATTACAATGTAGAAAGCGCCGTTACATAGAAGAAAGCACTATAACACTAAATAGAGCCTCCACACGGAAGTCTGCGCAGAGTACTTAAAAAGCCAACCACTTGTGCGCATAAACTCAAATTCTATTTTAAAAATACTTGAGAGAAATTTATCATATATATTTTAGAAATGAATCTATAGTGGTTGACAAGTAAATAAAACAAACCAATTGTATTCATAAATTAAAAAAATTTTTAGACATATATTTGCTACCACTTTCTAATTTTTAATAGATTTCATATTAAATGGTTCTTTCTGAAGTTCAAACTTGGTTTGCCTTTATAGTGGTCTGATCAGACTACCTACAAAAAACCGTGTGGAGGCTTTAAGTTATCGAAGGCGTTGATAGAGCACCTTTAAGTTGAATTCCTTTTTTTGTTCATATATCGAGATGGGGCGGGAATTTTTTCCCCTCTCTTTTCTGTTCTTTACAGAGCCGTTTTTATGTTTATAGGGACCCTGGGCCAGTCATTATCTGGGGGCCCTTTTTGAGTAAATTTAGTGAAAAAAATTTAATTTTGACTAATTTGTAAAAATTATTTTATGAGTAAAAAACATAAATTAATTATAAAAGCTTATAAATACATTATTTTTATCGAAAAATTGAGGTAACAATACTTTGCGCACTTTTTGAGAGGCGAATCTTCTATCACATCATCAAAATCAATTTTCTGTTCGCTTTGCAGCTCAAAATCTGTTAGACTTAGAAACATCAAATTATGAAAGTGTGTAGAAAATATGCAAGGAGTTAGAAAGAATACAAGAAAATACAGTTTGATTATTATTATTTTTTTTTATATATAATCGCCGTTGAAAAACTCGCTCAATTTTCAGCCAATGTTTAACTACGTAGCCTTGAAATTTTAAAACCAATCCAAAAGACAAGGAAACTCCTGGATCAGACCCCAGAGGTAATGAATTGTTGTGAGAACTTGGAGCAGTTTATGACCCCGACAGATTTAACACTAGTCACCATTTCATACATGGGTATTATTCGGCCGGCTGAATTCGAACTCCCATTCTCACGAAGAGGAGTCCATAGCCCTACCAACAAAGCTATCGTGGCCAATTTATTAGCTTATTTTATAACAATCATTGAACAGCCCACCCAATTTCGAGTTTACGACTACTAATGTTCAACTCCGTAGCCTTATAATTTTGAACCAATCCATCATACAAGAGAACTCCAGGATCAAGTATTAGAAGAAATTTTTGCATTCATAGAAAACGTTTGATGAAACTAACCCACATTTGCGTTACATAGAGAGGATGAACACGAGAACCTCCTGACGGCAAAGGGACTTCAACCCATCATCCGCCTGTCACTGAGGATATTTCATGTCAGCACTGTGGTCGGTAAAAGCCGGGTGTGGAATTCATATCGACCAGCCATCGCTGGGATTCGAACTCGGTGCACCTCATTCGGAAGAGAATGCTCTATCCCTTGAGTCCTTCTTTATTGAGTAATAACTCTGCGGCAGGTACCAATTTTCCAATTTTATTCATTGGTACCAATTTTATTGATTTGCCTAAATTTAGTCATCTTCAAAATGTAAATGGTAATTCAATCGTAATTTTTGTAGAAAAAAAATGGAAATATACCGTTTTTCCTCTTAACCTGCAATGAATGCAGAAGCAACCACGAAGGTTAGTGAGCAAAATGAACAGGGAGCGGAGCCTTCTAGTTTTTTAAATAATTGTTAAATTATCAGTTTTTAACATGCATACTTAAAAAAAAAATAAGAAAAACATTTTTCAGTATTAAGAAATAATAATTAAAAACTGTCATCAGCTGGAATAGAAGCCACGATCTCACAGTTTTGTGTTAGATTTCATAATCATCAGCCCCAAATATACATACCTGCCTTGCGGATATTTTTTAATTCTTTTTTAATTTATTAAATTAAGTCATTTGGATACTTGACATTCTGGAAAAATACTTTCCAAATTACCATTTTTAACGTTTATAACAAGTATCTTCAGTTCATTTAGAAGTAAACTATAATTCAGTTTATCTTATTCATTTTCAGCTTATGTATGTGCACCAAAAAAAAATTCAAAACTAGACTAGATATAACACAAGGACTGCAAATTTAACTGTCGGATATAAAACCTTATTTAAAATTGATAATAATAAAACGATGAAAAATCTACATTCCTCTAATTAAATATTTTAAAAATAGTCTGTGTTCAGATAATAATGTTCGTAATTACCTTAATAAACTTTAATGCCGGGGTTCCACCGATAGAAGACATTTAATATATCAATGGAACACACTAAAGCTTTATATCAATTAGCAATTAGTTTGAGAATTGCAATTATAGAATAATTATTTTTATTATAAATTGAAAGGTTTTAAAAGAAAAGTATTTGTTAATGTTTAATATTTAATCAAAAAAAAAAAAACATAGCCCATATTGAAATCAAGCGACTAGCCCCTGATAAATTTTGTGACAAAAAAATATTGAAGCCTGATTGATTTCCGGATTTTAGAAACACCATCTAGTTTTACTATTCAATCAAATTGGTTTCGATGTGTTTCATCCCGCCAGTCTCACTAGTGATTCAGCATATTTTTATATCAATTTTGTTTCGTTCTTACTTAATATTAATTTGTTTGCGACAGTTATTTTTTTACTACATTTTTGCGAGAAGTTTAAAAATATAATATTGAGGGCATTAACTGATTTTTCTTTTTTTTTCTTTTTGTATGCTTCTTTTACTTATATCATCCACAGCCACAAGCAACTGTCTGCTCCAAATACTGCAATAATATAAAATAAGATAGCAAAACGTATGGAGTTATTTGAATTCATGTTCAAAAGTATTAATTGTTTTTTGAATTGACAATTTCAGTCATCCTTTAAATATTAAAAACTGCAGCATATCACATCAAAGTATTAAATAATATCATTTTTACAATAAAGTAAAATAAAAAAGAATTCTTATCCTTAGCGACAGATTTTAAATAGTCTCATGATCGAATGATGGAGCATAATTAATATAAAATTAGCGACAATTTTAAGAAATTGTTTTGACTTTGATTAGGAAATTTAAACGCCTTATTAATTAAAAAATTGAGAAGCCTTATTAACTTTAAACGCATAATAACAACAAAATACAAGGAGTTAAAAATAGAAACAAATATGATCAATAAACAATAAAATCATAAGCTAACTAAATTAATTTTGCGTACGAAATATAATATTACAAGTTAAACATATTTCATATTTAGGGGAAACATGGAAAATTTGGTCATACAAGAGTTTCAGACAATTTTTTCCTCTTGTTTAAACATTTGTTTAGCTGATGATCATTTGACTTCAATGCTCTATTAAACAAAATGAAATGTGTTTCTGTTTATTGGCAGTAAGTAAAATTTAAATAAAATTACCTTTGTCATCTCAATTTCATCCAGAACAGACCAAATCAAGCGTTTTGGAATACTGGCCAGTCAAAGAGATAATTGAATATTGAATAGAGGCCCGCCATTTAAATAAATAAACAAAAAAATCACAATGTATACATAAAAAACTTTCATGTTTTCCCTAACCAAAACCAAAATCGATTTGATAAAAACATTTGCTTACCTCCAACGTGAAAGATTTATGTCTTCTTAATATCCTACGAAAAATTTGATATAGAAATTCCTAGTTCACAGATTCTCTTACGATTAATTTGAAAAATAACAAAATAAAATCAACTACAATAATTAAGTAAGTTAAACAATTAGGCTAGTTCAAACATTTAGGGGGATTAAAGGGAGAAAAAAAAAGCTTTTATAATAAATTTAAAAAAATATCTAAACTTTGTAAGAAAGAAAATTTAGAATTGAACGAAGGCCAATTTAAAGGCACTAATGGAAATCTCAAGACCCAAAGAAATTCTAACAAGACCCTTCCCCTATTTACAGCCCTAGAACTGTTTTTTTCCTAGAAATTTATGACCGGAAATGAGACAAAAGGGGGTTTCTGTAGATATCTGATATTTCTGAAGTTTTAGGAAAAAAAGAGTCCCAAGGCAATATAAAGAAGCTAAAAACATTTTCTCACAGTGTAAAGTGATGAGGACAACTCTGCGGGTGGTAGCTACGAAAGTGGGGATATTTTCATCAGTGGAAAAGAGCGTTTTATTGCTCTTTTCGTTAGAAAAGTGAAGAGTAAAACAATTATTTTATATTTGTAAACACTTCGATTAGATTTTGAAAAGCATCCAACAATGTAAGAAAGAAAGAAAAAAAAATAAATATGTATATATATATATATATATATATATGTAATACAAAAATTNAGAATAACAATTATTTAATATATGTAAACACTTTGATTAGATTTTGAAAAGCATCCAACAAGAATATATTTATATATTATAGGCTTCAGAGGGCCCCAGCTCTGAATAAAACTTTAAAAAAAGAATTAAAAAAAAATGGGATCTGGGGGCCCTTTTTAGTTATAAATAATAAATGAGTTAGAATTTAAAAAAAAAAAAACAATTGATGCTATGAGATTTTAGACTTTTCAGGGGTCCCATCAGAACTCGGGGCCCTGGGCCAGGGCCCATCCTTTAAAACGGCTCTGGTGCTTTAGGTTAGGTCCATCTTGAGCAGATTCATTATCGTTACTAGGATTACTAGTACAAAGATCTTAAATTACAATAGAAATCTACTTACTCTGTTGTTCCAAAAATGCCATTTAGGGAGAATTTCCAGAATGGCCTGACGATACATCGTGTATAACTTCAGATAAATTTTCCACACAACTTCTTCACTAAACCAAGTATACACTAGTTTTCTAAATAGAAAAAAGATTTATTAGTAAGCAAACACTATGTAGAAATTACGAGACTTTATAGCCTTACCTTATTCACTTGTAAAGTAAACTCTCGATCAACCAGATTATCCCGAATGATCTAAAAAAAAAAAAGTTTTTTATAAGTAAAATTGCGGCAACTACGATTTACGACTACCTTGAATTACATTATGACAAATTATACGTGACGAATTGGCGCAGAAACAATTTAACTACTAATCTTTAAATGCATTTTAGACGAAGTATTTTTTATCCGTTCCAATTAATCAAGAGAATTGTGTTAATAAAAGTGTAGGGGGCTGGGATAGCCTGGTCAGTAGGGTGCTGGGCCCATGTTCAAGAGGTCGTGGGTTCGATCCTCGCCGGCCGAAGACTCCCCGTGTAGTAAATGGTGACTGATGCACGTTAAATCTGTCGAGTCTCAAAGTCCTCCATGTTCCCAAAATAAATTTTATCTCTGGGGGTACTGATCCAGGAGTTTCCTCGTCTTCTGGATTAGTTCAAAATTACAAAAGCTACGGAGTTGAACATTAGTAGTCGTAAACCCAAAATTGAGTCGACTGTTCGACATTATTAAATCTAACATGATCATTAAAAAACATTATTAAATCTTAAATTTTGATAATTATTATATCTTATTTAAATTGCGTTGTGTAAAAATAAATATTATTTTAAGCTCTTGAGAAAAATAAAATTTTGCTAAATTAAATTATTATGCAATTAACAATTAATTATCTTTTAAAAATTTATTTACTAAAGTTTACTTGAATAAAATATCATTTTTGAACCAGATTCGGAGCCTGTTAAGAAAATTGAAATTAGTAATCCTAAATCATTTTAACAATTGATATAAAATTATCAATTCTACAATTAAAATATACCCCCGAGAACAATGATTGAACACTACTTCTTTATTTGACGTTACATTTATCATTTACTTTTTGAACTAAAATCAGTAGATAAATTATTAAGATACACATGGTGATGCGAAAGGCAAAAATAATTTAATCATACCTGGAGTGGAAAAAAAAATGTGCACGTGGAGGGAAAAGAACTAATTACTAATTATCGCGTTTTCCATTACTTGTTAGATCAAATTTAGAAAAAAATATTATTATTCATTAAATTTTTGAATTACGTAGGCAATTATTAAGGAAGAAGACCAATAGCGTGTTCACGTACAGCTCTCGCTTCGGACTGCTAGGAAAAAGAGGGGGGTGGGGACCTTCCCTGAGCGCGGTAGCGTAGGCGGCTTACTACAAATAGTTGATTGGTCTAACACGTCGCTACGTCATGCTTTAGTTGTCGAACGAGTGTTAAACGCTTGCATACGTCAGAGGGGGAGAAGTTTCTCTAAAATGTAAAAGTTAATTATCCACTCAAAGCAAAAATATTCTCTCACTCCATTACTAATGTAATATAAAAAGTTTGTTTATGATTACCACATATAATCTGTGAGGTTTGGAAACTAGTGGCATATATGGCCTGCCGATATAAAATGAGCAAATTTAAATCTGGCAATTCATGAAGATAACAGGTACCCAAACATGTGACGTCAGTGACAGCTAATTTATAAGCAAAATGGTGTGTTAAAATTCAGCTTCTTTACCTGTTAAGAATGTTAATTAACATGAAGTTAATTAAATAGAACGTCGTCTTACACATCGAATTCGTTGAAATATAATTCTTTCTAGTTTACTTCTTTCACTCAACTTTGAGTTATTATTTGTTTATCTATTTTATTGTAAGCATAATATACCGTATTGTGAACTTCGATGCAAAATTATTCTGCTTATGGTGTACATGGCTTTGTATCTGTTATTGTATTAAGTAAGAAATATATAGAAAAAGAATTTAAATCCTTGTGAAAGGATATAGAATGTGTCACCTGAGAAAATCAATACTTGACGGGCATCAGAGGCGTATCTATGGAAAGAAGCGCCTATGGCAAATCTCGCACTGGCGCCCTTCCTAAAATATTTATAATCTCTTTTTTTATGCGATGCGAAATAAAAGCGTTGTTTGAAGTATTTAAGCCTTTTGGCAATGTTGCAAAAAGAGCCGCGGTGGCTCAGGGGATAGAGCATTCACCTTCCAACGAGGTGAGCCGGGTTCGATTCCCAGCGATGACTGCTCGACACGATTTCCGTATCCGGCTTGCACCTACCACGGTGCTGACGTAAAATATCCTCTTTGACGGATCATTGGTTACCCTTGCCGTCAGACTAACCGCGGGAGGCTTTCGTGATCCTCCTCTCCATGTAACGCAAATGCGGATTAGTTCAATCAAAAAAGTGGTCCGCGAAAGCAAATTTCTCCAAAATGCTCGATACAGGCGTTCTCTTGTCTTCTGAATCGGGTTCAAAATTACAAGGCTACGAAGTTGGACATCAGCAGTCGCAAACTCAAACAATTGGATCGGCTGTTCAACAACGTTTATAAAATTTTCCAAAAAGATTGCAACGCAATTTTTTTTAATAGATTAATAAATAAATAAAAATTAACTACAACAATAAAATTATCTCTTTTTAATTATAATGCATTCAAGTGTGTTCGAAATCAGCATTAGTTAGAAATAAAAAAAAAGTCTGCTTTATCATATTTAAAGAAGATTCTCTTGCGTTTCTTCAACTGTCAATAACAATTCTAACAATTTGTTTAATTAAGCAACAAATACAATTAGGTAACAAAAATACGCACGCACAACAAATGTCTCTGAATTAAAGAAGAACTATAACATAACCAGATGATTACCCATTATTTTCAAAATTTAAACTGAATAAAATTAATTGTTTTTAGAAATAATCATGCTTTGCTAATACCAAAACAATAAAATCATCGAGATATAACAAATTCATTAAAGATCACAGTGTAAATAATTACGATTTGTTATGACAATTACAAATAAAATAGCTACAATCAAATTTTATAACTTCGTTAGCTTTTTATTTACAAAAAACCGATGGTCTTAATATAATTAAGTTTTACAAACATTATATAATAACCGATAATAAGAAAAAATATACATATAGTAATTAATACAGAACTCTAGACAAAATAGCGACAATAATACATTCTTTAATGAGAAATAAATTAGAGGAAGTTGACGTCTTAGTTTAAGAATATCTAGAAATAATTGATTTTTTAACAGTGAAAAAAAAAAGGCAAAAAGTTAAGAAATAGACCAAAAAAAAAATCAAATTATGAAAAATTTTCTTCGCATCAGAATGGAACAAATTAGAGAGAAAGCAGAAAAAAATTAAACAGATTTGAATCACAAGTTTGTAGACGTTCGGTGCGCAAAAAAATAAATAAATAAACGGACTACCCTGATAACTTTTGATATAATAATCAGATCTTCACGTTCTTCTCATGTCAATGGTTCAAGGAGGTGACTTAAAATATGCTAATTAATAAGTGCAGGGACAATATTTCAAGTTACGAAATCAGACACTAAAACGTACTTTCTCTGAATAAACATGCCATTTTTTTGACTGATTTGGATTTCTGTACCCCTAAGTATTGGGGGTAGTCACAATATGAGAAGTAACTCGAGAGCTTTTCAATCGAATTTTAAAAAAATTTTCCCATAACTATAAAGGTCCTTTGTTAAAAAATATCTTTTCGTAAATATTTATTATTTTATTTATAATAGTCGTAAAAAAATTCAATTGTTAGATGTACATTTTTTACATTGTTTTAAAAAATACTACATTTTAGCGAAATTGATCAAATAGTCAAATTTATAGTCAAATAGTCAAATTTATAGTCAATAGTCAAAATAGAAATCAAATTTTAAATATCCGACTTTTTTTTAATTCTATTTCTCAGGAATCCTAACTCCATATTCAAACAACATGAATTTAGACCAACCTGTATAACAGGGAAAAAAACTTTTTTTAAAAAAATAATCAAAATTAATTAGCTTTAAAATTTGCTTTTTAGGAAGAAGAGAAATATAAGTGATTGGAATATTTGAGGAAAAGAGGGCTTTTTTTGTATCTTTATGAAAATACATTATAAGAATGCGTATACTTCATTATTTAACAAGGTCTAATTTTTCAATATTTAAAATGCTTATTGTTTTTTTTATATTCTTAAAATAAGGATAATTATTTAATGAAAAATAATTATTGTGATTGTTACTTTATTGATTTTTTTTCAAGTAATATAATATGTAGTGATATAAACATAATGTAAGTGATATGTATTGTAAAAGACTTATAAAATTAAAAAAAAAGTAATTATTTAATCTAATTTTTCTTTTCTTTTTTTTTTGAAAAGGGAAGAAAATTGTAATCTGAAATAAAATAAAAGATATAGGGGAAAGAAAGATGACAAAATTTTGCACCCGAGATGCTATGGAAGCGTGTTCCATAACTCGAAGAAAGGTTGATAAATATTAAATAAATGTAATTTAAAAGTACAAAACAAACATGTCTTTATGAATTAAAAAAAATCAATTTGTAAGTAAAAGGATTATTGAAACTTACACTTAAAGCATTGTTCCTTAATATAACCCTTCAAAGAAAAGAAGGAAAAAAAACAAGTGGTTAAACTCAAAATCTATCTATTTATGAATAGAAAGAGAAACATTTATCGGTTGTTGGAAACTATTTGCTGAACGTAATGAATGTTACGTAATAAACACAAAATTATTTACTTATCGCAATTATTTTTCAGGAAAATTAAGAAAATATATTCCCACTAACATTAGAAATTTTAACATTCGTTGCTTTTTTTATTACATATTATTTATAATTATAATGCATTAACGAGTATTTAATTATACAATATATAATTATTAATACAAAAAATCTATGTGCATATTAAATGTACTGTCATAAAACAGTAACAATAAAAACTAAAAAATATTATAAATTCTAATTTATAGCATTAAAAGGAGGGAGAGCAAATGTCCCACTCGATCTACACATACAGAGATGCTAACTTGCAACTTAATGGGGAACTTCTTTCTAGTG